AGTTATAAGCACCAATTATCATATTTGAATACCGACACCCACTACTTGAAACTCGATCTTCTTTGCTCGGCTTGTATATTACATGAATTGCATTAATTTTAACATTGACCCGATATATCTACCCTTCACATTTTAGGGTAAGGTGCCATTGAACACATTTAAATGCCATTTGGCTTAGCAAGGTGGAGGAGGGTATGAGTGGGAATGTGGGATTCTTCCATTTGGTCACAAATTTATGACAAGAGAGTCTGAGACGAAGTGAACTAACCTTTCAAGAGCTAAGCCAAGCTGGTGTGGGCGTGGGAGAGAGAGATAGATGGTTTTTGATGATAGTTAGATAGAGATGGTTTGCATCTAGGGCAAAGCTATGCAGAGCCCTCTATGGTGGGCTTCCAAACACCCACCAAACCAATTACGAAGAACAAAAATATTAAGAAGGAAGATGGGCATGATTTGCATTTTTTTTTGTTTAACGCTCTAGGGATATTCGGGTCAGTTTATGCGTATATCAATTAATTCCTTATCTAGTCAAATCAAAAGCAAATCATCCATATCAAAAATAGAATATTCATANCAAAAATATTAAGAAGGAAGATGGGCATGATTTGCATTTTTTTTTGTTTAACGCTCAAGGGATATTCGGGTCAGTTTATGCGTATATCAATTAATTTCTTATCTAGTCAAATCAAAAGCAAATCATCCATATCGAAAATAGAATATTCACAAATAATAAATCTCTAATAGTCTCGCTTTTTGCATATTTTGGGCAGAGCTTTTCTTTTAGCACTTTGAATGGTGGCCCTCCATAACATCCCCAACCAAAGAAAATACAGCAAAAAGAGAAACAACAGCCTATTTTTTTGACTCGATGGTCTATTTTGCATTTATATATTTCGACAATTTGACCAAAGATTAGTCTGATTACTGAAAGCATTTAGGAAAACAAAACAAAAAAAAAACAAAAATGTTTTGTTAATAATTTCTATAAACCTGCTTAGAGATTGCAATTATAGTCAGAATAATAGTTCGTTCCCACCCGCCATGTAATTTAGTGCCATATGTAGGCTTGTAGCATTCTTTGAACATGATAAGACTTGCATAGTTGTTTCCTAACGATTTATTAGTGGCGAACCATAAAGTCTCATGGTTGGCAATAGGTCATGTTTGGATTGCTAGGAATCGTATTTAAAGTTGTGTCATATCAAAATTTATTTAATTAAATCAACAAATCCAATCTCTGTACAATCATGTATACCGGAGTTTATGTCGTAAATAACCGAATTTTGTTTTAATTCATTTGTGATTCAATATTACTAGTCAATCTAATTATAATCCAAACATTTTACGTCTAAAATTATATTCAGTAACTTTTAATTGATTTTGTGTCAAATTCACAGATCAAGTTAAGAGTTATCGGTCCTAATAATTTTATAAATTTAAAAAACAAATATTACAGTATCTAAAAAAACAAAAGAAGTATGTATTTTTGAGTAAATACCTCGGACAAACCAAGCTCGCTCCCCCCTACCCTTTCAACCACCATCTTAAACAGTGGGCATTGGGTATAGCCGTACACCTTAACTGGCCCGGCAAGACCAACTCAAACCAACCTATAGTTTTTTTTCTATATTTTTTTAATGGTTTGCAATATTTATATATGAGATATATATATCCAATAGAAAATATATTTCTAATGTGCCGCATGGGTTCCATATATTATGTTGAACCAACTCGATTAAGATCTTAATTATAAAATAGAATGTTCTCATTATTGCACAGGGGGGAGTCATGAAATTTTTTTAAGGTAGGCACACTCTAATTATAAGATTTAATTTTTTCTCCAATAAATAAAAGTAATGGTATACATTTATATTTTTAGTAAAGGTGTTAATCGAGCCGAATTTTACGAAATTGAACCCGATCGAATTTGTTTTTTTAAACAAGTTTAAAAAATTATTCAAGCTCAATTTTTTTAGAACTCAAGTCGAGCCTGAGCCTAGGTCAAATTGAGCCGAGTCCAAATGACTTGACTATTTTACATATACATGAGTCAACCTTTGTGAGTTTGAACTAAGCCTTTAAGATTCGTTTTTTAACATCAACTTAAAAAATTATGAGTTTTAAGGGGGTTGGTAATCTTTTTAGAAATTATAGGGCAAAAAATACTACTTTTAAAAATATAGGTCAAAAAGTACACAACCCCTAACAAATCTCTAAAATACCCTCTTTAGTAGAATGAGAACCGATTCCTATATTTTTGCTTTGACAACCGAAACTTAAGAGATCTCAACAGTTACACATAAATTCCTTCGATATCGCCGGAAATCCCATTCTTCCAAAAACTTCCATAAAACCTCATTTTGGATATTCAAAACTTTCTGTTAATCGTTGCTAAAAAAAAAATCTTTTCAAAACTTCACTATCAAAATCTTCACTTTTGTAACAAAAGGATAAGAGTGGTTATAAATTTTTTTAGTAACGAATAACCAACTCAATCACACGATCTTGGATATGGATTGACATCCAATTCATTAACATCTCTTAGTTATATTAAAGGACAAAGTGGTTTCAGTAAAGGGTCCATTTGGGTGAGAACAATTTAAATAAGGGTTTGAATGGGAGCAGAATGATGGAGAAGGATGGGAGTGGTTGAATTTTTTGGAAAGGAAGTTGATAACTCAAGAAAAATGTTATTTCTCCNAAAACAAAAATGTTTTGTTAATAATTTCTATAAACCTGCTTAGAGATTGCAATTATAGTCAGAATAATAGTTCGTTCCCACCCGCCATGTAATTTAGTGCCATATGTAGGCTTGTAGCATTCTTTGAACATGATAAGACTTGCATAGTTGTATCCTAACGATTTATTAGTGGAGAACCATAAAGTCTCATGGTTGGCAATAGGTCATGTTTGGATTGCTTTGCATCGTTTTTAAAGTTGTATCGTATCAAAATTTATTTAATCAAATCGACAAATCCACTCTATGTACAATCATGTATACCGGAGTTTATGTCGTAAATAACCGAATTTTGTTTTAATTCATTTGTGATTCAATATTACTANAGAATCATCATTTTGATTATTACGATCATCCTCATTTGAGTCATCATCATTGACATTTATCCTCATATGAACGTGATTGACATTAGGAGACCGTAACGATTTTTTTTTTAAAAAAAAATACTTATGAACAACATTGTAGCAGTGTAAATTTAATTTGTAGCAGTGTGACATTTTCTAATACCAGTGTGACATTATTTTGTAGCACTGTAACATTATCGTGCGAAGCAGTAAGTCATCCTCTGAATCAGAATCATCATCTTGATTATTACAATTTATAAAAATANGTCAATCTAATTATAATCCAAACATTTTACGTCTAAAATTATATTCAGTAACTTTTTATTGATTTTGTGTCAAATTCACAGATCAAGTTGAGAGTTATCGGTCCTAATAATTTTATAAATTTAAAAAACAAATATTACAATATCTAAAAAAACAAAAGAAGTAGGNTTGTAGCAGTGTAAATTTAATTTGTAGCAGTGTGACATTTTCTAATACCAGTGTGACATTATTTTGTAGCACTGTAACATTATCGTGCGAAGCAGTAAGTCATCCTCTGAATCAGAATCATCATCTTGATTATTACAATTTATAAAAATAAATAAATTATATAAATATGGAAAAGACATGAATGTTTGAATAACTTAAGTTGAATGAAAGAGAAAGATATAATTTAAAATTCAAAAATGATATTTCATAAATTTAGGAAACTGAATCCCTAATATAACTGTCATATTTGTCTCCTATTAATAAAGAAAAAGGACAATTTTGTAAGAGAAAAATTACAACTCAGCAAAAGTGCACCTCTTCACCAAACATTTACACATAAAAATACTTATACACAAATATTTTATATTGAGGTACTTTTACACAAATACGTATGATAATGTGTACATTTTCATAATTTTCCCAAAACATTATTCAAATACAGCTCATTTAGAACACTAGCCAAGTTTAAGTGGAGTATTATTCAAGTTGAGCTCGAATAACTCGTTGCGATTAACACCCATAATTTTTAGCATCATAATAATTAGGTAAAAATTTATTAAACACACAAAAGCCAAAAGCTAAAATACATAACATAATCTATGCAAACAATTAATAACAAAAATGAGCAAATTACAACCCTTTACCGAAAAAAAAATAATAAAAAATAAAATAAAATATATATATATATATAGAGCTAATTAAAACCATACAGATACAACAATTGTCTTGTCAATAGCACAATATGCACATAGAATTGAAATCTTTAACAACAACCAATTTCAAACCTGTTACAACACTGCTTGTTTGTCGCTGGGAGAGAGAGAAAAAGAGGAAGGTGAGTTATGGTCAATTGTGCTGCGACGAATTATAAAATTAAACGTCTAGAATTTGAATTTTGACACTCTTTGAAGGTCAGATCAAAAGTAATTTATTTATCGTAAATATCCTAGTCTCGAAATGAATGATTTGCTCTTGACCAAATTAAAAAAAAAATTAGTCAAAATACACATAAATTGATTCAAATAGCGCTGATTGTTGAATAAAAAAATATTTAATTCTTAGATCAATATCACTTTTTTTGGTATTTTTTTTTTGGGACCCAATGGAAGTGGGTGGGCGGGCCATGAATACCTCTCATGGGCCTTATACAGCAGTCAATCAAGATTCAAGAAGCATAGCCACCTGACGTGCTTCGGCTCAACTAGCACAGCTTTTTTTTTTTTTTTAACCACCAGGTGGTCTGGTGGAATATCGATGTTATTCCTCACTTTGAAGGGTTGAGAATTTGAATTTTGGAGTCTCTATTAGGATTCGGTAATTGATCGCTATACTAAACTAAGTAATAATAAGAATTTGTTCCGCAAAATTGATATCTGACGTGGAAAATAAAAAAAAAATGTAATGGAGGAAGAGCAGCGTCTTTAGGCATTGTTTGCAGAAGCTTTTATTTGTGTCGACCGGGTCTCATCCAACATCTTCCTGAGTTGTCATGCATATACATCGAGAGATCTTCGAGAATTGTCCGCTTTCGATTCCCAACCAATTAGGAGACATTCTCTCGCATCCACCCCCACCGTTTCTTCCCGATTCCTCCTATTTTCCATAGGGTTTCCCTCTCTCTCTCTCTCTCTCTCTTCAGGTACGTTCAATTCCCTAACATCTTCAGTCAATGCATTTTGCTTGTATAGGTATACATGTGTATGTNTGCCATCCGTCCTTCATTATGGCCTCGAGCAGCTTTCCCCGGCTTGGGACGTCGTGCGCATTAAATGCGCTGTTTTGGTTCTCCCGCCCAATGATGACATTTTCCCCCCTATATAAAGGGGATNTCTCTCTCTCTCTCTTCAGGTACGTTCAATTCCCTAACATCTTCAGTCAATGCATTTTGCTTGTATAGGTATACATGTGTATGTTTATCTTCGCTGAATAAATTTTGTCTTGTTTATGCCATTCTTTAGCTCTTGCTTATGGATATTGAAGCTAAAAATTTAAAGCTTTGATTACTGTATGAGCTTTTTGCGTTGAATTCTATGAGGTGATAATGTGAAAACTGATGAATAATCGGTGTTTCTGTAGCAACTTGGGAATGAATTAGGTTTGTTTTGGTTAATCTTGCGACTTATGTTATCGAGTTTTGTTGATTATTTGTGGTAATTATTGTGAAAATGCCTGAAATATAAGTGTCTACGAGAATTTTGTGGTTATTGGATTTTGTTTAGGTTCGAGTTGTGAGCTTTATGTCCTGGATTTGGTAACTTTTGTTCTAATCATTGAGAAAATGGATTGATTTTAGGTGTTTCCGTTGTGAGTTTGCACCCTACTTTGCTTAAAATTGTGCGGTTTATATATCCGGTGTCTGCTGAAAATGAGTGTGGTTGGATTTGATATCGGCAATGAAACCTGTGTTATTGCGGCTGCAAAGCAAGGTGGGATTGATGTTTTGTTGAATGAGGAATCAAACCGTGAAACACCAGCTCTGGTCTCGTTTGGCGAGAAACAAAGGTTTATGGGCTTAGCTGGGGCTGCTTCTGCAACCATGAACCTAAAATCCACAATCTCTCAGGTTAAGAGATTGATTGGCAGACAATTTAAGGAACCCAGTGTCCAAAAGGACCTGAAACTGTTGCCTTTCGAGACCTCTGAAGGACCCGATGGTGGCATTTTGATTCATATACAATATTTGGATGAGAAACATACTTTTAGCCCCGTTCAGATCATGGCCATGTTGTTCACACATCTAAAGCAGATCAGTGAGAAAAATCTGGAGACCCACATTTCTGATTGTGTCATTGGTATACCGTCGTACTTCACGGACTTGCAAAGGCGAGCCTATTTGCATGCCGCAGAGATTGCTGGCTTGAAACCTTTGAGATTGATGCATGACTGTACTGCTACTGCACTAGGTTATGGTATTTACAAGAATGACTTACCTGCTGGAAGGCCAACTCATGTTGTGTTTGTCGACATTGGTCACTGTGATACACAGGTTGCTGTTGCAGCATTTGAACCGGGACATATGAAGATACTCTCTCATGCATTTGATAGGGATTTAGGAGGAAGAGACTTTGATGAGGTTATGTTCAGACATTTTGCTGCGCAGTTCAAGGAACAGTTCCATATTGATGTTCCCTCTAATGCTCGGGCTTCTAAAAGGCTGAGGGAAGCATGTGAGAAACTGAAGAAAGTATTGAGTGCGAATCCAGAGGCCCAACTTCATATTGAATGCTTGATGGATGAGAAAGACGTCAAGGGATTCATAAAGAGAGAGGAATTTGAGCAGCTGTCATCGAATTTGTTGGAGAGGATTAGCATTCCATGTCGTAAGGCTTTGCTTGACTCTGGTATCAATATGCAGAACATTCATACTGTCGAACTAGTGGGATCAGGGTCTCGGATACCAGCTATTAAAAGGATTTTAGCTTCTCTTTTCAAGAGAGAACCCAGCCGGACACTAAATGCAAGCGAGTGTGTGGCTCGTGGCTGTGCTCTTCAGTGTGCAATGCTTAGCCCAATATTTCGTGTCAGAGAGTATGAGGTTTGTGTCTTCATATAACTATCTTCTGTTTTTTTGTTTCTTTCCACAAATGCAAGCTCTTTTTTTTTTTTTTTTCTTTTAGCATTTTTAAGATATTGCGGATGCGTTATTGTTGATTAAATACTTAAATTTGCTATATAAAAACTTTATACTATTTCTTTTGAATATGCACATTTTTTGAGAGTGGAACTATAATTCTTTAAGTATAATTCAGTGTAATTAATCTTTTAGTTTTGTGGACACTGGGCAGTTTTTGTTCTTTGCAACAAGTGGTTTTGAAATCCATGCATGTTTGCATACTTATGTATGTGTTAAGTGTGACTCCATTTTATGTGTCTTGTGTTATAGTACACATCTTCATGCAGTAGAACAATACAGGGTAATACGATGATGGCAGAGCAGCTCCTGTATGGCAGATTCCTTTAGAAAATGGTTACCTGGTTTGAAATCTTGTACATGTTTTATCATTAATCTTGCTTTGTTAACTAGATGACTTTGACCCCGTATTTAATGTTTTCTTTTGGTGGAACTTTGTGGATTTAGGTTTTACATCATACCCTTATTTTTGCCTTAGTTTTTCTGAAGCAGTTCCAATGCTCATCTTGGTTAATAATACTTTACTGAAAGGCGTTAAAGTTCAAAAGTTTCCTTAAATTTCTAGCTTAAATTTTGGTTGCTCTTGCTTCGTCAATGGGAGCTACGACTTCTGAGAACAATATATGATATAATGGTTCTTTGTCATTATTCCTAAGTCGACTAGGAAATAGGCTATTCTTTGTTTGTATCCCCTGGATCCCCAAATGGGCTCCTAACATAGAGATTCCTCTTTGTTCACTAACCAATAACAAACACAGTGGAGTTAGTGAATCTGATGGTGGTGGTTTTGGCGTGCATCAAGTTGCTACTAATAGGCAATGGGGGCCTTTTCCAGAGCATGCTGGTGTGTGATATAATATAATAGCTCGATCAGTTGATGATTCCCTCCCAATGCGTAATCTAAGTTCCTTTATCTTTATCAATTGCCTCTTGGTAATGCTGCTTTTTATTTTACGAACATCCACTTTGTAATACTACACCTCAATGTAATGCTTTTTGTCCCCACTCCCCCCAAGCCCCCTTCTCTCTCTCTCTCTCTCGGTAAAATGCTGTGAAGCAAATGAATCTTTCAAACAATCAATAAAGCTCTGGCTTAGTTAATTACTCATCTGAATGTGTCAAAAGCTGGTGTATGCATTTAAGAACTGATTTATTCACGTCTTTGTAATGAGCTCTTGACCTATTAATGGTAGAAAATAGAGTGCTTTATTTGAGACCAGTATATTCTATATTCTGGCATATATTGTTTTCTTGTTCTTTGTTCATTTTATTATGCATAAATTGATAAGTAGTAGATTTTAGGTGCATATACTTTTGCATGCACTTGTAGAAGGTTTCCTTCCCTTATTTTAGTTACACTATATGTCATTTCATCACTTGCAGGTTCAGGATTCATTTCCCTTCTCCATTGGATTTACATCAGGTGAAGGTCCAATCAGCACGGTGTCCAATGGAGTGTTATTTCCAAAAGGTCATCCATTTCCTAGTGTTAAGATGCTTACATTGCATAGAAGTAATACTTTCCATATAGAAGTCTTCTACTCTGACCAAAATGAATTGCCTCCCGACACTTCACCTAAAATCAGCAAATTTACGGTATGGCTGATATTTACATTTGTCTCTTTTGCTTAATGTTTCTATATTGTTAAGATTTTCATTGGGGATTATATGATATATTCTTGAAGTTTTCATATGGGAGATTATTTGGGCCTTCTTGTGTGATTAGTGATTGGGTAAAAATCCCTCCGCATTTCTATTGCAATAAATTCATATTTAACTCTTGATATTGACTTTAGATGACTTGGTTTTTTTTTAGTACTAGTTTTTATCGTCTACAACTTGCTACATCCCATTGTAACAAAGGATTGGAGCCCCCTTGCCCTTGTTAAGATTTGCATGGTAATCAATAAAGCGTTGTTGACAACTAGTTTCTTAGTTGCTCGGGGTTAGATCTTTTAAGAGAGCTTGTATTCGACATCGAATAATTAGGACCACTAAGGTTAGTTTGTATACTGGGGGAGTCACTTCATTCATTGCTAATTAGTTTTGGGTTGGATGCTTTAACATGGTATAAGAGTTAGCCATGGGTGGCTAATGGGTTAAGTTTCTTACTCATTTGAATTTTCTGGTATGCATAATTGTTTGTTTGTTGACCCCACATACGAGGCCAGNTAGTTTTGGGTTGGATGCTTTAACATGGTATAAGAGTTAGCCATGGGTGGCTAATGAGTTAAGTTTCTTACTCATTTGAATTTTCTGGTATGCATAATTGTTTGTTTGTTGACCCCACATGCGAGGCCGGTTCCCACGTGAGGGAGGGTGTTAAGAGAGCTTGTATCGCACATCGAATAATTAGGACAATAAAAGTTAGTTTATATACTGGAGCCACTCCACTCATTGTCAGTTGGTTCCAATATACAACTTCTTATAAATGTGTTTCATAGAAATCTCTAAAAGAGAGGATCCTATGGTTGGAAGGTGTCCTGTATAGCCTTTGCTTAATTTAGTCACTTTGCGATTAAGTTTCATTTTAGCGGCTGATTGTTCATGATTCTTGTAATTGGGGTTTCTTGAATAGCAGAAAGTGGTTGCTCCCAGAGAGATGTTGCATGTTTCAAAAGACATATTTTTTCACTTCAATATTTTTCTATGAATCATACTGTAATCCATTGTTAAACTGAAACTCATATTGATGGTGAACTACTATTAATTTTCAAATAAGAAAGGCGAAAAACATTGTGCAATATGAAATTGATGCAACTAGTTCGTAATTATAGGTGCAACGTTTTACAAAGAATTTACTTGGTATATGTGCTTGCATAAGAGATGTGCAGCTAAACTTAAAACAAAATAATCGTTTATACAGACACTCATCAAAAACTTTTTTATTTGTTCTTCGGTCATCTAGAGGTGTGTAAATTCACATCCTTCTTGGATCCGGTATCATAAGTCATATTGTTTCGACTCTCTGGAAAACCAGTCTTCGGGTATCTAGGCATGGTTTATGCAATGATTAGTATAATTGTTCCTAGATCTCTTGTTTGGGCTCATCATAATAAAAAATGGTTGAACAACAGAGTCCAGTAATCTTATAGTTTGAAGGTTTTTTTTCACAAGATTTATCTATTCTCTTTTTACTTTGTTTTCATTATTCAAAATTTTGGATGATGCTATATCCTTTCTCCATGTGGAGGTTTTCATTGGGATTTTTTTTTTTCCAACTTAAGATGATTATTAGTTGATTCTGTAGATTGGCCCATTTGAAGTTTCCAACAGTAAGCAGACTAAGGTCAAAGTTAAAGTTCAGCTAAACCTTCACGGAATTGTTACTGTAGAGTCAGCCTCAGTAAGTATCAATTTGTTGTTTCATATTGTGAAAATATATTGAGCTTGAGTCACTTTATTATGATAAATAACAATTTGTTGTTTTTTTGTATCATCGTACCAGCTTATAGAAGACTCCTGGAATGATTCTACTGTAAGAAGTGATTCTCATTTGACTTCAGAGAAGGCGAAGGCTGACAATGGTGTGTCTTCTGATGTAGCAAATGGTTCTGATGATACTCATTTTACACACTCCAATGCTTCATCTACATCTGGTGTAAGTTCAATTGGAAATTACTGTGTATATCCTTCCCTGTACTAGTTTGGATTTGAATATATTGAGTTGTCTTCATTATATAAGAGGAGTGAGAAATACTTGCATAGTGATAACCTATGTTGCACCCTTGCAGACAAATCACACCCTTGACCACTATGGAACTGCCTATCTTACAATATATTGGAAATGATAATACATGTTATGACAGTTCTTTGTACTGAATCATCTTTATGATTCATTTTTAATCAGCCCAAAGTTCTCTTATGACAATGATTTTTCTTTTCCTAAACCACGAGTGTACTCTTACCTGCGGACCATCCACTGTGTGTCCTGTGTATGTTATAGAAGTGTTGATGGGAGCATGCATAATTACTATCCAGAAAGTCTCCTTTTGAATTCCAATGCTTCTCCTGTTTTTCTTTGCTGTCAGCTGCTTGCCTCATTGGTAATTGATAGTGTGGCCTTATTTGTTAAGAGAACTAAAATGGAGAGGAGTCAAACTATTTTTATTGATGTGTAACTTGTTCATGTGTGGAACTTGCCTTAGTTTAGTTGGAAAATTTTCATGTCTGATACATGCCAGCATTAGTGTCTGTGCGCCTTTGTATCAGTGTCTCTGCAATTGTAACAACTTGGTTCAAATTCAGCAATGCCCTGTATTTTATTGAGGACTCACAAAACCCTGGCTTAGTTGTTGGTGCTCATCCTTATTTATTACTTCATTAGTAGGTTATGCCAGCTATAACTCAATTTCTAGTCGTATGAATTAAGCTTATTCAGTCAAATCATGCTAAATAAATGTCTGAACTCTGAAGTTGGATCTGTAAATGACATGAGACAAATTCTTTGTGCAGGCTGATGAGATGAAAAAGGGAAAAGTCCGGAGGCAGGATATACCTGTTAGTGAGAGTGTTCATGGTGGCATGACAAGGGCTGAGCTCTCACAAGCTCAAGAAAAAGAACTTCAGTTGGCCCAGCAAGACATAAAGGTGGAGCAAACTAAAGAAAAGAAAAACACCCTGGAGTCTTATGTCTACGACATGCGCAATAAGGTACAGCTTCAACAGTCAGACATGGTAGTTGTATCATTATCCCATGCTTGTAAAAATGGTCCTGGGTGATGAATCTGTTTGCAAAAACACTAATTATAAATAATTTGGTTTTACATAGCCTTTGGTGGAGTCTATATAGTTTAGTATGTGAACGCTCAATACCAGTGTTCACATGACAAAATATGTCATGCTTGATGGACCAAATGTTTGGAATGTGAAAAAAAGGTGGTTAGGGATGACCTGATTGAGTTACTTGAGTAAGCAATGACTATTTGAAACATGTAATATACACGTTGCAAAGGAAATTTTCTTTTGTTTTCTGTTTCTTTTGACTTGACATGTATAATTATCTTTGCCTGATTCACATGAAATTAATTTAAAGTTTCCAATTCCTTTTTTATTTTTTAGTTTTTAGTTCTGCTGCAGATTCCTGTAGAAGAAAAATAAATTTAGATATGTATTGGTAATTTGTATTTTCAATACCCTATTTGAAGCTTTTATATCTTCAGGAGATTCTTGTAGAAGTAATTTGATGCCATAGCAATAGATGGCTGTTGGTTTGAAATTCTTCAATTGTTCCCCTTATGATTGGGAGGCTAGTATTTTTCTTATATTTCATCTTCCTTTTATTCTTAGGTTACATGCATGATTCCTTGAATGTGTAGACAAATTTCATCATTTTTATTACAAACTCTGATTCATTCTCACATTCCCGACATCTTTTTCACCTGTGTCCATATTCGTGTACAGGCAGCTTCAGCTGTTAATGATTTAGTTTTCAGTGTCCTTAAAGTGCTTTTTTGTTTGGTAAGTTTTTACGTATTGGATTTGAGAATGACAAAAGCATATAAATAGATTTTTCATACATACCGGAGCTTTGCAACGGACTCAGAAAAGGAAGGGATCTCTAGGACCCTACAACAGACAGAGGAGTGGCTCTATGAGGATGGAGATGATGAATCTGAGCATGCCTATACTGAGAAGCTAAAGGATCTTCAAAGGGTATGCATAACTTTCTTAAAGTTGGCTCTTCATTTTCTGTTGGCTCTTGTTCAAGTTTAGTGGTAAAATGCTGGGGCTAACAATCGTAAGGTTGTAACTTCACATTTGATGACACCTAGTTGGTGCAAATTATGCCAAAGTTTAGACCCAGTCCACCCTTGCCAGCACCCTCTATTAATGGGGACCAAGCTGGGTGATGACTTTCATGACCTTTGACCCTTTTACTTTTACTTGCTAATCATTACATTTGATTTCTTGTTTACTCTAGTTAGTGGATCCTGTTGAAAATCGATATAAAGATGAAGAAGCTCGGTCAGAAGCAACTAGGGATTTATTAAATTGCATTGTAGAAAATCGGATGGCTGTGGGACAACTTCCTGCCAACCAGAGAGATGTTGTATGATCCTTCTACCCTTAATGAAAATTGTTGTAGGACAGATGGAAAGATAATTGTGATGTTGGTAGTGTGCTGATATTTGATATATTTTCGCATTGTTCTTCACAGGTAATCAATGAATGCAACAAAGCTGAGCAGTGGTTGCGAGAGAAGACTCAACAGCAGAATTCTTTGCCAAAGAGTGCCGATCCAGTATTGTGGTCAAGTGAAATCAAATGCAAAACAGAGTCTCTTGATGCGTATGTTTCTCCTATACTAATTGCATAATGGTTTTAAAATTGTAAATTACTGAAACAAGGTAAAACTTTAGTGGCAGAGTTCTAATTCAGTTTATTGGCGAGAGCAGTACTACTTTATAATTGTTCAAAATTTGACCCTCTAGATGATTGCAATGATCTATTATGTCTTATTGAATTGGCTAGACTGGAAAGGAGGTTTATGGAGAAAGGAACCATGTGACACATGGGTATAGTGATCACTGAATTGTATTAGTTTTCAGTTAAATACTTGGCTGAGACATTGGTTGTGGAGTAAAGCTGTGTATGTAGGTGACAAATTGGGTTTGTCTAACTTTGTACCCATGGTTTGAGAATTTTGATTCGTACTTGTTTTTGATAAATGTAACATGAGCCCGATTATTTAATAGTACCTGCTTATAAGGATACATAATATTTGACATCCTCATTATCAAAAAGGAAAAAATTGTCCATTGAATGCAAGAAAGGTGGCGCAATAATGCAATTGCATTGGCGTTTTGAGTCATTCTCTGCTTGGTTTTTTGCGTTCTTTCTTTCGTTCTTGTCCCTGTATGGTGTACAAACGGTGAAACCACCTTGTTGGAGTGTTGGTTCCTTCACTTTTTTCATGCCTTTTTGTTCCTCCCATGTGAACCTAACGGGGTTTAATATACTCTATTTCAGGTTGTGCAAACAGCTAAGGAGATCCAAGGCATCACCCACAAAACCAGAGGACGATGTGGACTTGGATAAGAAAAAAACAACATGCGAGTAGGTTGAAGTACATGCAGATAGTTTTGGGACACCATGCAAAGTAAAGTCTCACCATTTTGGGTGAAAATAGCCTTTCCCCATCCTTGTGACTCAAGGTAGGAGCCGGATTTTTCCTGTTACTACGCGGTCTCTCCTATACGTTGTGCTGCTTCTTTACAATGTCTCTATATTTGTGATGTCCGTGCTTATCTTAATACCTTCAGACCTATTTTAAAAAAAAAATACCTTCAGACCTAGATCCAGTATTGGCTAATTTTTTTTTGTTTACATTCTATATCTGTATTTTTGGTTTTGACATACTTGTTGTTTGTAGATAGTGCTTTAGTGTAGTGAATATGCTAACAAATTACGGAAAAAAAAGTAATCTTTAGCAGTAGTATTTAGTGCTTGATGTTGGTTATTCTGTGTTGGCAGCATCAATGTTACTTTTGTCACTCTGATTTATCAAGTTGAAATCAAGTGAGTCGTAGTTCTTCAAATCATTTAACACTTGCATTTATTTACTTGTGTTGCGCTTGTGTGTTGGATGTTCTTTCCCATGCTGTGATAAAAGAACAAAAAAAGGGTCCTTTGCCACTTCAATGGTCCGTAATGGTATCTCTTCTGAAGTCTGGTTGTAATCTTGATACGTGCTTTCTTTTAACTTAGCCCAAGCTTGTCATTCCAAGTTGAAGTCTAGCATTACCAAGAAAGCTATCGTGGTTTTGGCACTACAACTGAGAATTGAGTGTCTGCCTTGGCGAGTCGAGTCATCACAAGCTACGGAGTGTTTCCATCAATGGCTTTACTCTCTGCCAAATCTTCCAAAGCACTTGTGCCTAGTTCTATCGTCACTTCAACTTTCAGATCTTTGAATAGGTCGAGTGGTTCCAACTTCCAACTTCTTGGTTTGCAGTTCCTTTCTTTAGGGGTTGGCATGACCGGCTTAGGTGGGCTGGGTGGTGCAGCCTGTTGACCGGATCTAATTTTGTCACCCAAAACAGCTTTAACCCGCCAATGACCCTGAGGACTGCCTCGCCCTACCGGGTCAAAAAAAATGGCCCAATCCTTAGGTTATCGGTCTATTACCAGGCTGTTGCTTACAATAGCTTATCGTCTGTACAGGAATCAACATATCTTGACTGTAAAAAAAAGAGATTCAGAGCACGAGGCTGCCATCACTGAGTCTATGACGTCTTGGGAGGATTAAAAATACAGTCTTATTCGTATAGGTGGAGAGACTGGTCTTGCGATTCGAATCTTTGACGCCCAAATTATAATAGAATCACCTTACCGTTGTGTTAAGATTCACTTTGTATAGATTGACTGTATCTTATCCCTCGACATCCAAAAAGGTGGGGAAACTCAGCCCACACAAAATACATGACAGACACTGAGTACTGCAGCAGTGAGCGGAATAGCCAAGCAGCAGTTTCTTATGGAGTGACGAAATCAACCTGCTGTTGGAAAGCGACTTCCTCTGCTAGTGGATGCTACTTTATCCCGATTTGAAAAATACTACACAACTCAAATTGATGTTAGTTGTTCGACGTTGGAAGAAAGAAATTTAGAACTTATATTTTTATTACGACACCAGAGTCGGAAATGTCCCTAGAAACAATCAGAGCAAAATGAAGAAAACAATGACCAAAACTCAATCAGGCACACGCAAGCCATGTTNGAAAAATACTACACAACTCAAATTGATGTTAGTTGTTCGACGTTGGAAGAAAGAAACTTAGAACTTATATTTTTATTACGACACCAGAGTCGGAGATGTCCCTAGAAACAATCAGAGCAAAATGAAGAAAACAATGACCAAAACTCAATCAGGCACACGCAAGCCATGGTAGTAGTTCCTTAGGCACCCATCATTCCTTTAAAAGAGGCTCTTTTAGTGCATCCCATTTGTCCAAACGTTTCTTAGCTTTCTCCACCTGAAAATTCAGACAATTACAATCAGTTGATTGATGTTTAGAAGTGTCAAAAACCCAATGAACTTGAATTATTGGGTTGGAGGGAGTGTCTGCAACTTTGAACTGCCAGGGACTAGCTGTTGATAGATGTAGGGTCGAACTTGAATTGGAGTATTGTCCGTGCTTTAGATCTCGAAGTTAGGTTGAAATTGGGTTTCAATTAACGTTAGATGTCATGTTAAAACTCATGTTCGATTCTAGTATTACAAACTAGGAGTTTAATTAGGCTTAGAGAACTCGAGTTGGGATCTATCTGGCCCCTAAAAATTAAAGATTTCAGCTCGAGTATTGTTTGAGTACTAAAAATATATGTTCGAGCATTAAACATTGTTGGGTTGCATTTGGATCGATAAACATAATTTAAAATTTGTTTCCTCAGTTTCAATTTTGTATCTAAAATGTTTTGCAAAATACTTTCAAAATGCTGATCAAAACTATGCAATTTTGATCGTTGCCAATAAGGGAAGATGGAATAACATATATTTTTAAAAGCAAACCACAATTTCTAAGATAGAATGTACCTCTTTATTCCAGTCCGTACGGAAAGTTACCCAAAGTAAGATGATTGTCTGCATCATGGTTCCTCCAATCATCCCCGACCATATGCCCTACAAACATAATTGTCCAACGTTAATATTCAAATTTCAAGGGTTTCATGTTTGATGGGGGAAAATAAATAGTCCACATATAAGAACTTAGGCAATTAAGACAATATCGCTTTACATAATTATACATAGTAGTTGAGTGTATTTTACACTTTGAATTATACGTGAATTTCAAAAGAATTTCAAAAAAACTTATGATGACGTTGTGTTAGTCCGAACATTAGACGACCTAAACTTGGACAAGAATTTTAGGGTTTATTATTAGTGGCATCCAATTTGGAAAAAAATAAATAAAAACAAATAAACTTTTTACAAGTATTTTTTTTTTTTTTACAAGTAGATATGGTACATATGGCGAGAAAATGCAGGGCAAAAGAGTAATTAGTGGGCAGTGAACACATACCTTAGCACCAAGGTCGAATGTAAAGCCAAGAAGACAACCCAAAGGAATTCCTACCACATAATAACATCCCACATTTACGTATGCAACAAATGCTTGCCATCCACACCCAACAGCCACACCTTCAACATATGAAAATGATGTGAATGATAAGTACGCATAAAAATGGAGTGAGTTTGCGATATCGATAATGCTATTCGTGGTAAAATTGTATTATTATCGTTGGATTGATAACGAATCCCATTTAATATTGAGAAACATTGCTAATTGAAGAACAGTAGTGAATTTGACTAGCAAATTGGATGAGTAAATTTGACCCTAGTGACATTACTATTAGGTTTGGAGGTTGTGCAATAGTACATGTGTGTTTTTTGGTTCAATGGTGAAGCATGACTGGCCTAGTTTACATGCATCTCGACTAGTCTCTCCTTCGATCTGGTCAAAAACAGACCATTTACGTCAGCCTTGGTCCCAAGAGATTACCAAAATTCGAATTTAAAATGTTTATATTTACAGGTCGTTTCTGTTACCGCTTGNGGTCCCAAGAGATTACCAAAATTCGAATTTAAAATGTTTATATTTACAGGTCGTTCCTGTTACCGCTTGAACTATCCCTTGAGTTATGTCTTCGTGTGTGTATTTGTTTCCATTACAAATAAGATTCGCATTTAAAACTGTTTGGTGCTGTGGACAAGGTGATTAATGGCTCTCTTGGGATCGTCTTTAGAGATTTATCTTGATAATTGTCGGGTCTACGTGAGATAGGAGAACTACAAATCCCGAGAGGGTTGGTAGGGTGTTCTAAGAGACGCGATTCTCTCCTAGTTAGGAGAAAAATACTTTGCTATGATAATCATGCATTTAAATGGAACAAACAAGTTTTGCAAGCATACATTTTCATAGCCACTGCTCATCAGTGGCCGGGAACAAAGCTTTGCTCAGCTACTGCAATTGTGAAAACTACAGAACAAAGACAATCTTCATCACAATACTTATGTGGGAGTCTATGCCCTGCCAAGTTTCAATCAATCGTGTCACCTTTCACTTTCACTCAACCATGATGATGACTCATGGCTGAGACATCTATGTGCTTCGGATAAATATATTTTAGTGCTAATAACTCAAGATTTAAATTTGATTTTTTTGCCTAAATTATAATCTTTTTTGTATTTACTTCTATTTATATAGTGGTTTCTAACTTATTTCTATGTATATACAATTGTTTTACATTAAAGCACGATCTAATTGCACTTTCAATTTAAAATTTTCGGGTTTGATCCGCACGTTTCAAAGTTTTGTACTAAACGAGTGTTTTGCAAACATGTTTTTATATTGAAAAACATGAATTGAACCCATTTTTGACATAGAAAATGAATAGAGAAATAACTTCAAAATTATGAAATTCAAGGAATAACGTCAAAAAATTGTGGGTAACTTAGAAATTAATTCTCATTTTTGAGTCTCGCAAGAGGCGTTAAATTGACCTAGTGAATATAATTTTTAAGTAATTGTATGCATCTCCAATTTTGATAGTACTAATCTGGAGTCCAAAGAAACGTGCATGACTTTAATATACAATCATTTCAACAGACAAGGAGCAAAGCAAATTGATCACTCATTGGTATTAGTCACACATGACCATGATGATGCATCAGAAGATAATGCAAGCTTTTTCTTTGTTTTATATGCTAAAAATATGGAAGAATAAAAAATTAGAAAGATAAATAAAATACTATGTTTAG